TACCAATATATACGCAAACAGATTGAGGCGGACGCCTTGGGTGATGTGCTCAACGTGAAGTGTACACTTGGGTTGCCCATGCAGAAGGTGGGCCGTGTAATGTGAGTTATTGTAAACTTTTTAGTGGATCCAATGAACACATTAACAATATGTAACGTTTTTTGTTGTATTTTTTCACAGGCGTCGCAGTCTCGGCGGTGGCGTGACACTGGAACTGGGCGTCTATGCGCTGCAGTTCGCATTGTGGGTCTTTGGTTATGCGCCGTCCAACGTCGCCGCCAATGGCAAACTGAATGGGGATGGTGTCGATGAAGAGGCGAATATCTGCATGAAGTTCGGTTTGGGACGTGCAGCAGAGATTTTGTTGAGTAGTACGAAACGTTTTGACAATAAGGCTGTAATACAAGGCACAAAGGGCTGTATAACTGTAAGCTAGCTGTTGTTTGTTTTTATACAAATCAAGGTATGTCAATTTAATTTCGTATTCCTTTTTTCACAACAACTCAATAGGTGCCAGACTATTGGTGTCCGGTGAAGATTTTGGACGTTAACGGTGCGGAAAAAACGTTTCCACTGCCTAAAAGCGATTTGTGTACGTATTTTCCCAATCGTTTGGCGTTGAGTTTTGAAGCAGAAGAGGTGCGTCGCTGCATATCGGAGCATAAGTCGCAAAGTGATTTGTTCACGCACAAGGAAAGCTTGGAATTATCATATATTGAGGATCAAATACGCCGCCAATTGGGCGTGGTTTATACAGAGGATGCAGTGGCGAATTTCTTTAAATAACTCAAGAACAAATTTAAAAATCACCTGAAAGTCTATTAAAACAACAAGTTGTATGTTCAGCAATTCAATGTATTTCACTTTTTGTATCCCCTTTTCCCCTTCCCTTCTTCATCTTCATCTTCCTCATTTTCATCTTCAGCTCGTTGCAATTCACGCTCGTATAACTCTTTAAATGACTCGTATTCTATCAGCGTGACATGACAAACCTTGGTGGCGAATGTCTTCTCCGATGTGTTCGTTATCTGGTATAAGCGTGGGTTTTTCGTAGGCTCATCTGGATTTGCTTTTAACGGTCGTGGCACAAACAAACCCATCCGCTCCAGAAAAACATGCCGACATCGTATCTCTTCCAATGATTTCGACAGCGCTTCTGATTTAATAATTTCGGGTATTTCAATACGCATTACATCTTTTAAATATTTTACTTTCTCTTCTATACGATGTTCTGACTGTTCCATTAGATCGGGACTGTTCATGAGCAACTTCCAAACGTTCTTATCTGTGCCCGCAAATGTTTTCAAATAACTTATATGTTTGCGTAAGCGTAAACCGTCATTTACGTTCAATAATTCTGGATATTTTGTTAGCAGCAAGAAAAGCAGCTTCTCACCGAATTGACAACTACGCCAGTTTTCAAACGCATCAATTATACGTTGTTTTGGGCGTGTAAGCACATCCGGATTGCCAACGGCAATGCGAAAAAAGTTGCTTGTATTGAAGCCGTGATTCAAGAAAGTTTCATGCACTTTTTGCCATTGCGCTTCAGGTACTCGGGACAGCAGTGGATTCAAACGCACCGCTTCATCAATATGCGATTGTTCCAGTTGTGTCTGCTCCTCAGGCGCTGCAGCGACGGACCGCAATGGTGTCAACTGCCGTTGTTTAAACTAATGTGCAAAATATGCAAAATATAATAGCAGAATATTAGGAATTAATTGTCATATAGTTTACCTGTTGGTTTCTGTGAATAAATTTCACATTTTGTTTCAAATTAATTAAATATCTTTGGAACATTACGTCTGTTTATTTTGTTGAGTACCGGCGAACATATGTAACAACCCGGCGAAATCAACAGCTGACCAAGAAGAATGCCCAATCACATTAAATGTAAATCAATTGATTAGAAAATAATTAAAAGTTGATTTCTGTTTTATGTGGTGTTTGGGATAAAGATTATTTTAATTTTTCATTCTTGTATTTGGAAATAACATTTAAAAATTATTTTTCATAAACATTTTCGCGAAATAATACATAAAAAATGGGCTTACAATGTGAATTTCAATGTAAGATCTTCAAACAAAATCTTCTGGCATCTTTTTACCACATGCTATTGTGAAGGTGGAATTCCTTACTCGTTAGCAGAATAAATATCAAATTTGCACAAAGTATATTTTAATTGTGAATAAAATTGACATAAATGTAAGTTGAGTATGCAATTAAATTTTATAAGTGTAATTTTTCTAAATTAATTTTTAGGATAAGTTTCAATGACCTTGAAAAGAAGTTGTACGCTATACCGGTTGAAGTTGTGATAATATTCTACAGCTGTTTTTGTTGTTTTAATATTTAATGTCGTTTTTTTATATGATTAAATTATATGACTCAAAAGTTTCCAGATTAATGTTTATGGAAGGTGTTGGGAAATTCATCCAATTCATTGATCTATGCTTGAACAATTATTTAATATTGCAACGTCATATGCAAGTGGACGCATAGCAGTATATATGTATACATTTTTATTAGATTGTGTTACTCGGAAGGGGTCACTTCAAAAACCGATATCATTAGTTGGCGTACTATATCAGTGAGCGCAGCAGTAATTATCTCAACAACAAAACCCAATAGCAAAGAAAGTAGCAAAATCTACGTGTGCGTTATTATCTTACCAATTGGTGTAGATTATTTTAGTATTTAATAAACTTACTCGAGTAAATTCATTCAGTTTTAACTGTATTCTCTAACAGCTTACAGCTTTGTTCACCGCTTTAATATAATAAATTATAATGGCTTTGCGTTGGGGTATTGCATCTGCTGGTAAAATTAGCCACGATTTTGCTGTTGGTTTGAGCACACTACCAGCGAGTGATCACAAACTCGTCGCTATAGCGGCACGTCAAAAGGATCGTGCGGAAGAATTTGCCAAGACCCATGACATTCCAAATGCTTTTGGTAGTTACAAGGAATTGGCTCAATTTGCTGATGTTGGTGAGTATATAAAAGTGTATTGCAATTGCTGCCGTGAAACAAACTAGAAAATTAGTGAAGTGAATTGTTGCAAGAAATATTTTTAATGCTTTATAAGTGCATATGATTATCATACTTCGAACAATAGTTATTTTAATTTTCGCAGACACTTGAAATGTTGTATGACTAGTACTTGCCCATTAAAATTCAACGCATACTCAACTTTGAGTGGCGTAATCAGCATTTTTTCAGTTTTCAGTGTAGACTCTTGCTAGTGTTAAAGTTTAAAAATGCCAAAATTTTGTTTGATTCAAAATTCAATTTCACTCAGATCAAAAAAATGTTGGGTCATAAGAAGGTATACAATTAGTGAGCGGATAATTTGTCTGTGAGTAACATCGCAGTAAATTCAAAAAATGTTGTTCGAGAAAAAAATTTAAAAATTAATTTAAAATTGTAGGGTGCGGTTTTCAAAGCTATAGTATATCGGAGTATGAAAAAAATATAAAAACATTTTATTAAAAATTTCACACTAGGTGTGTATGTCCCTTATCGAAGTTAAGCTTCAAATTAAAATAGTTGTATATTTTTAAATGAAAATCAGAAGAACATCAATGCTCGAACTTGCGACTAACTTAAGTTTTAGATTACTAATGTTTTTAATTTCATCTCCTTCCCATTCCTAGATATTGTCTATGTTGGCGCCTTGAATCCACAGCACTTGGAAATTGCTTCGCTCTTTCTCGAGCATGGCAAGCATGTTTTGTGCGAGAAACCATTATGCATGAATTACAAGCAATCCAAGCAACTGACTGATCTTGCCAAAAGCAAAAAGCTTTTCCTCATGGAAGCAATCTGGTCGCGTTTCTTCCCTGCCTACCAGTACACACGTCAGCAAATCAAAAACGGCGCGTTGGGTGAACTTAAAGAAGTGGAAGTTGCATTCGGCTTCGACTTGAGTGGCGTTGAACGTTTAAAGTAAGTGTCATTAAATATATTAATACATAATTTTGTCCTGCAATTATGCTTTATTTTTATAGCAAGAAGGATTTGGGCGGTGGTGTCGTGCTGGATTTGGGTGTTTATAACATACAGGCATCACAATGGGGCTTCCAAGAAGCACCAGAAAAGGTTATTGCCAAGGGAGAACTCAACGAAGATGGCGTGGATAAATATGTTGAAGCCGAATTACAGTATTCCGGTGGACGCGTTGGTAAACTGACTTTCGGCGCCAAAGAAGAGCTGGCAAACAGAGCGATCTTCAAGGGCACTAAAGGCCAAATTACGGTAAATTGTGATTTGAATTCAAATTATTACAATTTTTAACATTTAATTTTAACTTACACAACAGATCCACAATTTCTGGTGTCCCACAAAAATTACTGACGTTGATGGTCAAGAGAAGGAATGGCCACTACCAAAGGCAAAACTTGCTACAAACTATAAAAATTCTGAAGGTTTGAGCTATGAAGCCGAGGCCACACGTAAAACCATTTTGAGCGGTAAAACCGAAAACGAGTTTGTTACACATAACGAGAGTTTGATTATTGCCAAAATACAGGATGAAATCAGACGTCAAATCGGCGTAGTCTTCCCCGAAGATCAATAATGACGTAAATGAATTTATTTTATACTTATGTATATACATTTTTATATGAGCAATGTCTTTCAGACAAAAAAGAAAATGTAAAGCGCTTTAATTAGTTTACCGTTTTTGCACGTAATAAACAAAGATGCTTGGCATCCATTACCTGCTGCTAAAAACAGTTCAAATGATAACCTTAATTATACTATATTTTTGTATTTTGTTTGTACTGTTTGTACTGACAGCGCAATTTGTTGTTGGTGCGTAATCAATAACACTAAAATAAATTTAAATCAAATTTTCATACATACATAGGGCATTGAAGTGCTAATGCATACATTAATGCCTGTCTCTTATACACATCTAGATGTGTATAAGAGACAGCTGTTTGTACTGACAGCGCAATTTGTTGTTGGTGCGTAATCAATAACACTAAAATAAATTTAAATCAAATTTTCATACATACATAGGGCATTGAAGTGCTAATGCATACATTAATGCAGCACTCAAGATTATTTGCATTGATAACGGCACAACCGACCGTTGCATCACATTAGTCCAACGCCTCTGAAATGCAGCGTGTAAAATGGTATTGATTAGTTTTTCATAGGACGTCTAAGGTCTAACTGCAAAAGATATACCAAAAAATACATACAAACATCCGCAAACAAAGATTATGCCAGTGCTTAAGTGGGGCATCGCCGCAGCGACTAGCATAACGCACGACTTCGTCAACGCCTTGTCCACCATAGAGGACAGCCAGCACACCGTGGTGGCTGTGGCTGATGTGGAAATGGCACGTGCGCGCGAGTTCGCCGCACGTCACGAAATACCAAAGTGCTATGACGGTTTCGACGCTTTGTCACTGGACGCGGACGTCGATGTGGTCTTCGGGGGCACATTGAATGCCTATCGCTATCGTGTTGTGCGGCTAATGTTGGAGCGTGCCAAGCATGTGTTGTGTGAGAAGCCGTTATGTTTGAGTGTGCCACAAGCCGAAGAGCTCTATCGTGTGGCAAAGGAGCGCAATGTGTTCCTGATGGAAGGTGCGTTCGAGTGTGTCTGGTGTGTTTGAACGAAATTTAATTTATATTTAATTTAATTTTTGTGCTGCAGGCATGTGGTCCCGCTGCTTTCCCAGCTATGCACGCCTCCATGAACTGCTGCAGTCCGATTGTATTGGCGAGATAACACACATACAAGTGCAGCACGGCTGTCAAGCTTATGTGGAGCGCTCACTGTGCAGTTCCATCACGCTGGAACTTGGTTTATATGCGCTGCAATTGGGACAGCTCATCTACGGCTCTGCGCCGGTGCATGTTAAGTGCAATGCTCAGCTGAATAACGTCGGTGCCGATGTGGAATGTGAATTCATTTTGGATTATGGTCAGAATCGCAAATTGGCTGCCTGCATTTCGGCTTTGGAGCACTTGGAAAACTGCGCCAAGTTATTGGGCAGCAAGGGGGAAATCAAGGTTGGTGCTTGCATGCTTTTATCATCCACTTTGTGATTTTTTGTTTTTGTTCGCAATTTATTGATAAATGGCACAAGTACTGGCTCGCTACTTATGGTAAATACATACATACACATATACACATATACCACTTATGTAGGGTAATAGCATTCAACTATTTAGATAAGTGATGTGACGAAATCGGCCTTATCTTTGTGTTATTTAATGGATTGATTTCTTGTTGTTGCGAAACAAGTATGTTATTATTGCACTACTATTTGCCAAATATTGATGAGAGTTGAGATAAGCCGCAGCTCACGACTTCATGACCTCCAAATGTGACCTGTCGGGTATAATGTAGAATTAAGGCTTTGAGGTTATGTGAAATGCAAATTATAATTTAAAATTTCAATTAGAAATTATTCTTTTTGTAACAACTTAAAATACTTCTACTTAGTGGTTGAAGTCAAAATTATTGCAGTCGAAACTCAATAGTTTCAAAATTCCCCCATTACAGTTATTTGTATACAGTTGTTGTACACGATTCAACAGCCGAGCAGAGAGCTACAGCAAACAGATAGGATCCAGTATAAATTTTTCACAAGGCAGTTGTGTAGACGTTATGAGTCCCATCTTACGATAGTCGGATCAACCGAACCAGAATGGATCAGGATTTTTAACCGTCCAAGTACTGTCAACTCGATAGTATTAGCCACAATTATTTGTGAAGTATTTAATATCGTAACACAACCAACAACAACAAACTGATATTTATATCCGACGAAGTCGTATTTGGATTTCCCATACAATTTGATGAACGCTGTTGTTTTTGTAGCGACAAAAAGTATTCCTGGAGTAATTTCCATGCATGGTATCCAGTTGGCAGTGCTTGCACCGCATATAAATTCGATTCCGTTCCGGTTACTTAGACCCGACGGTCGTGCCCACGGTAATTTGCTGAATTTTTTATGCCGTTACAACAACAACTACTATATTACTAGTGCTACAACTATTATAAAAACTATATTTACAATTAATTAAATTTAATTGCCAACTTTAATGTCAAATTGGCACTTCATCTTATGTTTTCTGCTGTGAGAAGCATGCTTTCAGGCGTTGAAAACCGATTTTTATAAAATTTTGCCATTGCTTGCTATTAAAACGCAACAGGGCATCCGAAACGCATGGAAATGTTCATTAAATTTATAAAAATATTCAAATCCAGGGTTGCCATGACTTTGTAAAAAAAAATTTTGCTGCTGATTTTATATGAATAATATAATTATTTTCAAAATTCGTAGAGTTCGTGATATTTTTCTTCAACTTCTATCTTCGCGCCCATATTTTCTCTCACATTTGTACACCTTCATTCACGATTTTGTACTCTCTTTCATTCAAAATTCTTGTACTCTTTTTTCCTCTCATTTACAGCTCAACAACTACTGGTGCTGTACATCGTTAACGAAACCCAATAATGTCAATGAAAATTGGCCATTGCCCACCGCAAAATATGAATTCAACCACACAAACGCCTGTGGCCTGCGCTACGAGGCCGAAGAAGTGCGCCGTTGCATAGAGAAACGCCTACTCGAATGCCCATTATTTACGCATGCGCAAAGTCTCGAGTTGCTACAAATCGTCGAGAAGATGCGCCGACAAATCGGTGTTAGCTATGATGACATTATTTGTTTGAGTTTGTAAGTGAAAGTGCCTTCAAATTAGTTTTTGAGATTTTTTTTTGGTCACAATGCATTCAGATAATTGATTTCTCATGAATTACAAATATTATATATATGTAAGTAGTTGTTGTTGTAGTGAATATTTACAGCCTGAGTAGCTAAATAAAGTGCTTTGTCTGCTCTTGATGTTTAAATTGTTGTTGTATCTATTAGCGAGTACCGTTATATGCACTTTTCGTAGTAACTTTCATAATTTAACGCTAATATGTTGTAACTTTTAAGATTTTTATGCTTTTTATTTTATTACTATTTAAGTTTTTGTTTAATTTTGATTTTCCAAAGACTTAGTTTAACTACGTAAATCACTAGTTGTTACCGGTAATCGTTTGTTACATAATCCTAGTTAGTTTTTTTAATTATATATTTACAAAGTAGTGTATGTTGGTAAGTATTTTTGAAGTTGCCTTGATTTGAGATTATTTTTTGTTACCTTTTGTAAGAAAGTAGCCAATTTCGTAAAGTAAAAAACAATTTTTAAAGTGTATTTTATTTGCTTTTATTGGAAATTGTGTTCCCTACTTCATCTGGGGATTTACCCTTATGTGTGTTGGTGTGTATATACAAATTACTGTGTCCTTACGGAATTTTTTGGTTTGTGCGGCCTGCTTAGCACAAATTAAAGACTTTAGTATTTACTTAAGTATGTGTGTGTTTGGGATTTTGAATATTTGAATAAAAATAATAATTTATACAAATAGTTGTTGAAGAAATAATCATTTGGTGTAATAAATACTTTTTTTTATTAATTTAAATTTGCAGGATAGAATATACATACATACATACATATGTACATATGTATATACATAAAATAAAAGTAAAAATACGAAAATAAAACAACTTTACGTTCAGTCAACAGTCTGCAAAGTTTAATGGCAATATATAGAAAAAAATTATAAAAATCTTAGTTGGTTAATACAATAAGAAATTACTTGCTTGAAATGCAATAAAATTTATATAAAATTTTTTA